TCGGCTGGTAGCGGCCGGCTCTCCACTGCCATGACAGCATTCAGATGGAGGGGTAGGCCCAGACCCGAGAGCCACTTCGGTGCCGGCCGCGGGGCAGAGTCAGGCACTCAGTCAGTCGGTACGGTGAGAGGATAGCAAGGAAACCGCGCTGCACGACATGGCCCTGACGCACTCTCCGTCCATGTTGTACGTCGGTCGTCCTTGGTGCAGGCAGACTGGCAGGCAGACATACGCATGCTTTTGGTAGACTGACGTAGCCGGCCTCCATCTACTGTGGCATACACGCCTCCCCGCCGCCCTCACGACCGTTCCTATCCACACCTGGCGGAGTCTGTCATCTTCTCTGCCATTCTGCGTCGGTCGTGCGGGTGAGGTCCATCTGGTCGCTTCGATTGTGTACGGCGTATTGCTTGAGAGGGGGGGGGGGCATGGGATGGGACGTCCCGAGCGACGTGAAGGATCAGGTGAAGTATTTGTAAGGCAGCGTGGTTCTGCGCCTCTTCTGACTGGGAAATTTCAAGTCTAGGAATTTCGGGTGATGACTCTCCAGAGCGCCCGTGCAAATCATCGCCCTGACCGCTTCACGTCTTGGTCGCCCAAACCTTAGGTGCCGTGGCTGTCGCCCGCAGCCTATGGTTAGAGACCGGGTGCTTACTGGACGAGAGAACAAATAGGCGTCGAGCCGGTGAAGCGGAAGTGGTGGGTTGACCTATCTTAGCCGGGTGACGGGCCCGTCCGATCAAGAATCCTGCTTGGTGTGCTTGATAGTTGGTTGGAAAACCGACAGGCTTATCCAGCCTGGATACCGAAGGATTTGCCTCGAGTTGTCGTTTCATCAAAAGGCTCGCCTTGCCTGAACACGGTGGCTTGGTTTTTTTTCTCCCATGTGTAGTTGTACGTCTGACGCGTCTTGTCCACCAGTGGCCCCAAGCTGCCAAAGTTTCTTCGCAGAGTCATGAGTTGGGCCATGGCAGTCTTGCTCGGCGACATCTTCTCTGCTCTTGGGAAGTGCTATACGGAGCAAAAAGGCGGAAGGGGGTGACGGGTGCGTGAGTGTGTGAAGCAAAAGGAAAAGAGTGTCTTGCATCGACACGGCTTGTTATTGACTCAGCTGATCTGCCCCAGATACTGAGTCTCACTCCAAGATGGCCGTGCCACGCGGGGAGCCTAGGAGAATTTTCTTGGCGTCGTTTAGGCAGTGGGATGGAAGAGCAGACGGAGCGTTCGGGCTTTGTGTAGTTGTCCACAGTGGGCATGCTGTCAATTGCTTTCTTAAACACAGCGCGATGGACGGCAGCTGCGTACTGGAGTGTGACACGGGGGAAGCTCTGCATGTCCCTGACACATCTATGGGACTGCGTCTTCTGCATGTTCCGTGCCGGAAGGCCGTGGGATTTGTAGAAGGCGATGCAAAAGCGTACACAGCTGCTGTAGCGTGCGACGACGGGCTGATTGACTTTCCAGTGAGGCCAGAAAACCTTGACTTTGGGTCAACATGTTGGGGAAGGCTTCAGATGAATGCGGTGTGGTCTCAGGGAGGGCTGTCTCTGGTGCGGGTAACAAAGCAGACCATCCGAGAAAGGGTTCTTGAGAGGCCAATTCGGGGTGGGACCCTGATGATCATGGTGTTATAGCTGAGATGTGACACTCGGGATCTGGTTGCGAACAGAGACGGGGACGTGGAAGGGAGATGCCGAGGAGTGGCGGAACGCTGCAAGGACGGGATCGTTTGCGAGGGCCGTCGGACGGTGTCATGGAAACAACTGGCTGGAGCTGCAAAAGGTTGATCGCTGCTAGTTCTCGGCCTCGTCTGGCAGGCCGGCTCATTGTCGCAGAGGTTGCAGGTTCGCAAGGCGTAAATGCCGAAGCTATGATACCGAAGTCCACGGTGGAAAATATATGTTTGGGTTGTTTGCTGTCCTGTCTTTGCTTTTTCGTCGAGCCAGATGGCAGTCACGTCCATGAAATAAAAGAAAGGTGCACTGCACCCGGGGAAAGAAGCACCAATGACCAAAGGCGGGAATCAGGTTTGGCAAGGAAAGATCCAACACAGTCAGTGCCAAGATGTGTGAAAGGCAAAGCTTAACAATCCCCCAACCGAGCGCCTGTGCCAGAGATAGAATTTGGCTGCGCAGGGAATGCGTACGTGAGGGAAGGGGTGATGGACTTGAGAAGCAGTTGTTGAATCAGAATCCCATGATTCAACTTTACTTGTTGTTATTGACAGGATGTATAAAATCTCCTTCACAACCGAGGTGAGTGAGTGAGCAGGCAAGGCAAGGGCGGCCGCATTGCGCCGGGGCTTCACGGAATACGGATACACAAACGCGGACTCGACTCGGACGGACGGGAAACTCATCTAAGATTCTCAGCCCGAGAGCCCAAGTTCATGTTGCAGGGACCATGAATTTGGGTGTTTCTGCCCGAATGGGCAGGGAGAGGGAGCGACAGGAAATGGGAGAAACATGGCAGCCCGGGGGGCATGGTCATCGTGGACATGAACAAGAGCCCGACGGGAGAGTGGGACTCGGACCCGTGCTGCTCATGCTGCCAAGGGGGAGGGGACCCGGAAAGCAGCCAGAGATTCGGAGTGTCAGGGTGATGGGTAATGGAAGGGGGAGGCTGAGTTCATGGGGTCGAGGACTAAGGCGACTGCTTGGTGCACTAAGCCCGTATCTTGGGTAAGGCAAGGTATGGGTTGTGGAATGCGGTACGCGGGAGACTTTTTTAGCAACAGCTCCAATTCCAGCTCTACCTTAGCTCCAGCGGGCCCGGCCTTGACCTCCAGTGGGCTTTTTCATCTGGGCATCTGCCAGGGACACAGTACACTACCTGGTAGGTAGGTGCTCTCAGGGCTGCGAGGGACTGTCCACCCGGCTGCCCTCCAGCAAGCAATAAGTTCTGGAAGAAGACACCCTTGCTTGGGGTATCAACGCGTGCAATGTACCGTCCATCCATCTCTAGTCGCCTCACCTTAAAGCTTTCAGGCTCGCTGAAAGCCCCTGTGGCTCCCTATGGTTGACCCTTGCTGCCGGGACCGCGAAGCACTGCACACGACAACAAAATGCCATGCTGGGTGTACTACCTCATGTAGGTAAGTTATGGATGGAGAGGTCTTCGTCGTCGAGTGAATGGACGTCGGGTGCCTGCCCAACATGACTCTTGCTACCTACTTAGCTTGCCGTACGTACCTACCTACCTATTTGTAGATTGCTGCCGCTTGCCAGGTAGAATGGCGTCGGCGTGCTGAGAAAAAACGGGCGCCTGCCTCTCTTGCAAGTAGGTAGGAAGGTAGCTGCACGCCATCAACATCACAGTTGCTGCCGCCTGCGTAGGAGGTAGGTACATCTGTGTCCACTACCTACCGCGCCATGCCTGCCTCCACTGCCTTACACAACACCACGACACGCTGGAGACTACCAATTACACCCGCCAGCGAGAATACACACTCGACGCGCATTCACCTCAGGGCGAGGAAACTCGACACGCACCAGAACCGCCGAAGCGGCAGCGTCGTACCTTAGCAGTAGCCGTAGCTGGTCGCAACCATCCGTTGCAGGACCCGGGAAACCATGAGCAACTAGGTAAGAGAGGCAGGCAGACTCAACACAGAGAGAGAGACGGGGAAAAAAGAAAAAAAGTCTCGACCGCTCACTGACCCCAATTTTTTTGGTCCTTCAGATCTCCCTTCATTTTTTTCGGTCCTCTCTCTCTCTCTTCATCATCCCTGACATTTTCTCGGCCTCTTTTCCACCCCTGTCACCAGAGAAACCCTCGTCCATCTGCCTTTCTCATCCTGCATCCGTTTCTGCCATACGCGCAGCATACTCGAGTGAATCGAGCACATCGTCTCTGCCTCACCCGAATCTCCATCTTTGGGTTGTTGTGTGTTTTTCCTTCGGTTCTGCCCAGCACCCGAGTCCATAATATACGTGCACAATCAGCAGCCGGCGATCGCATAGTGCCCATAGCACTATCCCTCTTTAACAAACCACCCCCTGTAGTACGAAGCGACGGCCCCCCTCACGCAGCCAGCCAGAGCCAGCCCAGCGCAGAGAAAAGAGCGATCCCTCCATCTCCTCTCTTCCTGCCCGCCCGCCCACTCACTGCCACTGCCACTGCCACCCGTGCTGCTGCCGCTGCCGCTGCCGCTGCTCTGCTGAGTCTGCTCTCCCGCTGCTTTTTTTTTTTTTTGCCTGCCTTTCCGACCGAGCAGCCCGCGCCCAACACAAAACACGAAAATCCTCCCCTCAAACCCACCCTCACCTCTCCTCCCCCCCCAAAAGCCTCTTTTTTCCCCCACGAGGCCACCTTTTGACCCAACGGCGACGATACGTCTAAACAAGACGACAACGCGATCCAGAGATTTCCATCTCTCGAGCATCATCAAAAACATCGACGATTATTCTTTCACGCGACTCCTACCTCCGCTGACGTCCGTTTTTTCTCGGCTCCTGCTGAAAGAAGCGAAGCTATCAACAGCGACGGCCCTCTCTGCGGCGACTCCCTCCCATACCCAGGCGAACTAGATCCCCCCCAAAGGGAAGACGAAAATTTTCTCATCGACGACGAGACACCCTACCACGCGACAGAGGCCTGCGCAGATTGATCACAATCCGCCCTCTCGCCGCCGCTTTCTTTCCGACAGGAAGAGAGGCTACCCAAGAGCTGAGATCACTTCGCCGTAAGTCTTTTCGCCCCATACCTTCCCTACTTCCCCTCGCGAGCCTGCTCACCACATCACCCGCTACTTCTGGGCGCTTCGCACCACATCCACAACAAACGCCTGTCCCATCGCGTCAAATACTAATTTCGCGTCATCAAACCAGCCCCGAGAAGTGCATCATTCCCGTAACAAGGGCACCATTATCTACGGCCGCCGCGGAAAGAAAAACCAAAAAAAAACCAAAAAAAAGGGTACACTCTTGGTACACTTGCCGCACACGCGAAATCTTCTCTCGGTAACAGCGGGCCATCTTTCTGGCTGGTGAGGATAAAAGATGGCGGACCAACATGAGGTCGACCTTGACTCGATAATCGACCGTCTCCTCGAGGTTCGGGGAAGCCGCCCTGGCAAGCAGGTCCAGCTTCTTGAGGCTGAGATCCGCTACCTGTGCACCAAGGCTCGTGAGATTTTCATCTCTCAGCCCATCCTTCTCGAGCTTGAGGCTCCTATCAAGGTAAGCAACCAGCGCTTGACTCGTATTGGCTGCGTCACTCCCCTCGCTTTGTTTTCCCCGAGTAGCACAGACCTGCTGACGCCGACCCCTCATTCAGATCTGCGGCGATATCCACGGACAATATTACGACTTGCTGCGTCTCTTTGAATATGGCGGTTTCCCTCCTGAGGCCAACTACCTGTTCCTTGGCGACTACGTGGACCGAGGCAAGCAGTCTCTCGAGACCATCTGCTTGCTGCTTGCCTACAAGATCAAGTATCCCGAGAACTTCTTCATCCTCCGTGGCAACCACGAGTGCGCCTCCATCAACCGTATCTATGGCTTCTACGACGAGTGCAAGCGCAGATACAACATTAAGCTGTGGAAGACCTTCACCGACTGCTTCAACTGCCTTCCCATCGCCGCTATTATCGACGAGAAGATCTTCACTATGCACGGTGGTCTCAGCCCTGACCTGAACTCCATGGAGCAGATTCGCCGCGTCATGCGACCCACTGACGTATGTATTAACTTTCATTCCAGGCCAAGTCTTGGATTCTCGTTCGATTTTTACAGATTATTGACATTTCATTTTCGCAGATCCCCGACTGCGGTCTTCTTTGCGATCTTCTGTGGTCTGACCCAGACAAAGATATCACTGGCTGGAGCGAAAACGACAGAGGTGTTTCCTTCACCTTTGGTCCGGACGTTGTTTCCCGCTTCTTGCAGAAGCACGACATGGACCTGATCTGCCGTGCCCATCAGGTCGTCGAGGACGGCTACGAATTCTTCTCCAAGCGCCAACTTGTTACCTTGTTCAGCGCACCCAACTACTGCGGAGAGTTCGACAATGCTGGAGCCATGATGAGCGTAGACGAGAGCCTGCTTTGCTCGTTCCAGGTGAGTGTGTCCATGTCTGTACTGCGTGGCCGAGGTTGCTGACATATCATGACACCAGATCCTGAAACCCGCTGAGAAGAAACAAAAGTACGTCCCCGGTGGTCTCGGAGGCAACAGCCGACCAGTCACATCTCCCTGGAAGTCCGCTTCCAAGTGATATCAAGAGTTTATTCCAACACACATGCTTCTAGGTTCGGCCGTCGTTAATTGCCTCCACGTCCATCTCGACCGAACGATCTCTTCGCCCATCGATGCGGGTCTCGCCCCCGCACACCGTCCTCCCACTTTCTTGGACCCTCTCAGGGTCTACCTCCGTCAACTCTTCAACCTGTCCGAGTCTTCCCGAGTCCACCCATCCGACTACAACCCGCGCAACTGTTCACGATTACGGCTGTCTGGTAGCTGAAGATAAAACACAAAAACAACTGGAATTTGCAATGGTTTCCATACCGGTTCGCGTTTCTCCGTGCGGCCCCCTTATGGACATGAACCATACAGGGTCTCGTGAACAAGTGATTTGCACGCGACGCTGCATGGGAGAGCTCGAAATCGACGCCTCGTCACCGCCTCGATTTCATTTTGGCTTCGTCATCCATTTTCACCTTATGTTGGACGGCCAATTTGCCAAACAAATGCATGCCAGTTGGCAAGGGCTGCCATCACGGGACCGATGTGACATTGAAACTCCACCTGTGTTCTCGCGGCTCCAGACAGTCGTACCCGGTCTCAGACTGGAGATCGTTGCAGCGCACTCACTCCTGAAGCCATGTCTCAATCCAGAACACTGTGGCACGTTGTAGGACTTTTCACCTCGTGAACCAGGGGCCAAGCTTGTGGAGTCGGCATTCTCGGTCGTGGACGAGGCAAGACGTGGAAGCGTCGCCCCGGCTGGGCAACAGAGTTGGGGGCTGGGTTTTCTCTCTTTTGCTTGTATTTTTCTTCTTCCCTTCCTTTTTTTCGTTTCGATTTTCACTGTTCTTCGGAGAGGTCTCTAGTCTGCTAGCGGGGTTGGTACCGAGACCTCATTCAGGGGATCGCCGCTTGGCACGATCTTGGGAATGAGGTGTCTGGCGTCCTGGCCCGGGTTAGCGGTCTGCTCTGTACACACACACAAACACGCGAGGCATACGCTTGGACTGGTCGACCCGGCGCGGTCACGTCTTCGTGGACAACGGATAAGGATGCTGCGGCGGCTTTATGACTGCAATGAGAAAAACAAAAGCCTTATACTATTCGAACTTTTTGATTCTTGGTGAAGTTGCTTGTTCCTCGTAATGATGTTTGGGTATAGGATATCAAGTTGCTCATCGGCAAGCTAGCTAGGTGTATCCGGCATGGATCCTCATGGTCCAATTAAACAACGGGAGCCGCCAGAGACGTTCCCGTCGACGATCATAGCCTGGTCCATCCTTCCTAGCGCGGGAGTCCACATTCCTGAGGCTCTCCATGCAACGACGGATCAACAACCACCAGCCAACAGGGCAAGAGGAATGCGCAAACGTCGTCCACTCGCTGGTGACCTCACAGGCGGATGGTCCCGTCAGGTACGCGGCGCCAAGCTGACGTGTCTAGCCCTCCTCCCCGTGGACACCGCAAGCTACCCAGGCCTATCGATCTCGGTTGGGCCTCAGGCACAGTCCTCGCAGGCTTCCTTCGCATCGTCCTGTTTCTTCTGAAGCTGTAGCTTGCCCGGGGGCGAGACCTCTGCCTTGGCCTGCTGTCCCTTGTTCGCGCCCGCGGCGGCGATGGCGGCCTTTGCTGCGTCGTTAAAGGGGCTCTTGTCGCTCGTGTCTGCGGTCTTGTTCGCGTTTGCGGGGTGCTTCTTGAGGTGGGGAATCACGTCCGCGGCGGAGGGCAGGCTGTTGCTGCTGCTGCCCTCCTGGTCTTTGGCCATCGTGGTAGAAGAAGGCTCCGCGGCGGCGGCGGCAGGAGCTTTGCTATGCTTCCGGTCGACGTGTCCGAGGTCCCTGTCCGGCTCGATGAAGTCGCGCAGGCGGCGCTTCAGCTCCTTGGTCTCGGGGAAGCCGCCCTCCGTCTTGCGGTCCCAGAGGATCGTGGAGGAGGTCGTCGCGGCGCCCGGGGGTTGGTGGGTTAGAGTTACGGTGAAGGTGCCGCCTGTTGAGGGTTGGAGGGCCACTTCGCCGAGCGAGTTTGAGAATGTTGAGAGGAGCTCTTGGGCGAACTGGCGGGGGAGGGGTGGTGAGGTTAGTATGATTGTTCAGACATACGGGATGACGTTTGATGTTGAGGCTGTGAGACGGGGGGCGGCCAAGAGGGGATGAGGTCATTGGGTTAGGAAATGTCAGGTAGGTACTGTAGGACGGGCGGTTGCTTGTATTGCGGCCCAGGGTCAGGGCAAGCGAGGTAGGTGTAGCGTGAGAAAGGCAGGTTGGGAGGACGTACATATGCCGCGCGAAGCATCCACTTACACTGGGTGCAGAACTGGATGGCTACGCGGGGCAGGGGGTATGGTGTTGCCGTTGTTGATGAGTTGACTTCAGCCATGTTGGTAGAGGCTGATGCAGAGGGGATATGAGTAGAAGTGGCGCAGATTCGAAGGTCTTGCTTGTCGTTTGCTAGTCCTCAGTTTTGGATACCTCAGTGACGGCAGTTTGCGACTAAAATGATGCGGGGGAATCAACTTGAAGCAGAAGGGCTCCAGAATGCAATGCAACTTGGTTCAATAGAGGAACACACGTCCTAGGCAGTGAGTGAACGTCCAGCAGGGGCTTGAGCTATCGGAAACCCGTAGATCGTCACCGTTCGGATGCTCGGTTCGGGCCTAGGCCAAATCAAGGTGTGCAAGCAAGATGAGAAGAGAACAGACTAAGGAACAGTCGGTTCATCCTGCGTCATCGGGCGGCGTAGTCAACACGACGCGGGAAGCGGGGTGGGGGGAAACCCAGTCGTGTCAGTGCTCCCAGCTCTAGACCAGGACGCCACAATTTGGATGGGAGCTGTGGCCAGCAGCTCATCTGGAGGGATTGGATTGTGGCTTGCGTCCGGGCCTGGCAGCTGGCTGACAAAGAGGGAAAAGTGGCCGACGCCGGCGGATGCGGAGACCCGGCGGAGGGTAAAATTGGGAAACACCTCAGGGAGCCAACCCCGTCAAGTGCATAATGTGCTCGGCGATGCGACTGGCAAACACCTGGCCACCATCTGCAGGCCTGGCAGGAAACGGGCAAAAAAACGGCGCTTTTGTTGGGGGGGGGGGGGGGGCAGTGGAGGGGGCCAAAGCGGTGGTGGTCGTGCTTGGCTTGGGTGTGTGTTTGCCCACAATGGAAACCTTGTCCACCTGACAAAGCGACCGGGGTGACGGGAGTGCCATTGCAGAAGGGGGAGAGGGGGCCCCCCAGGAAAGAGGAGAACAATTGTGAAGCTTGTGGCAGGAGGTGGCTCCGTCGCTCCGACGCCTTGCAGGAAAACCCGGCAGCAATTCAGGTACCGGTGGAGTCTTGCTGCAACGCAAGGTCGCGCTGCCATTGGGAATGACCCGGGACTGGATGGACAGCGCTCGCTGAGTCGTCGTCGTCGGGGGGTGCGGTTGCGGGTGCGATGAATGGTGGTCCTCCAGCGCCGCCCGCCGCAAGCACCACTACCACTGGGCAAGCAGCAAGCACGCCAGCCGCGATGCAGAGAGCACGCAGCTCGGCGGGCCAAGAAGTAAGAGGAAAAGCAAATGCGCCGTACGCAGTAAAGTGCCGTTCTCTCTTCCCTAGCGTGGGTGGAGGAGACGGTCTGCGAATGGGTTCGAATAAACGGGTCTTGGTCTCTTCTTGGTCTGGCTGAGGGACGACGACAAAGCGCCTCCCGTCAACCCTTTCCCGCAGAGGACCAGGAGGCATGATGCCGCAAAAAGGGAAAGGAAGTATGAAAGATGAAATAATGGGAAGGCTGTAAAGTGATTGAATGAGATATTGATGATTGACAGGAGGGAATTAGGTCGGCATCCAATAGTGGCAAAGGCCGTAGATTCCCCCGGCCGAGCAGGGCAAGATGAGTTGAACCAGGCCTGCTCCGATGTGACCCCTAGGGAAATGAAATGGACCTCTTACCGTCTCCATCCCAGCAGGTCAGCACCAACCAGCCCTTTCCCAGCGCGTTGCTTCACTCCTCCGGCTCCTCCCCCCGTCCGGCGTCCCCCCTTCTGCCCTGCTGAGGCTCCAATCGCTGCTCCTCCTCCTGCTGCTGGCCTGGCCTCCCTCCTGCCGTTGCCCGTCCACAAGTCGCAGGTCCTGGCGAACTCAACAGCAAAAAGGGATGCTGCATATGTCTCAGATGGCCCTCTGACCTGGGTTTGGTGGTTTGAAGAAAGATCTTGCACAAGAATAGAGAACACACACACACTTCCAGCCGCAGCAGTACGATGGAAAGTCTGTGTGTACGGAGGTGCTTCCCCCACCGTTAGATTTGCTTCTTCAGCGCCGCGCCTGATGGATGGCCTGATGTCTCTCGCCGTCCTTCCCATTCCCAGGCCATCGGGACCACCATCACCAACACCACCACCCCTGGACACGAAGACGACACAGAGCCAACAAGACCTGTGTTGGTGCTGTGCCGTCCTCGATCGAATCTTGGTTTTGAGACTCCTCTGTCCCCCGAGAGGCCTGCGCCGATGATGGAAATCGGAAGGGACTCTGGTCACGAAAGTGGTTCAATCCAGGGCCGACCGCCCTCACCGACCCCGGTCCGCCAATGTAGCCATTGGTTGGCCGAAATGACCTGATATGGAACCACAGCAGATGCGGGTGATTTCGTGGCTCCACGGCGCGCAATGCACATTGCACTGTCTGTTTTGGTGGTTTGCCCTTTTGCGAGGCTGTGGAACCCTATTCCGCCCAAGAGGCTGAAGCTTGCACCTGTCGTGTCAGCTTAGATGCATCGTAGACGCGAAACGTTTCGACACAATTGGTATCAAGTGATACAGCAAGTTTCATGGAGACAAGGCATTGATTGAAAGAAGCTATTCACACACTCGGTGCGGGATATAGTGGGAAAAGGGGGAGCAGACAGATCCGAAGAAGGAAAAAAGAGTACAGGACATCAAGAGAATTATTACATGCTGAAGAGCTGTCCGCCAATTAAAGCCTTGCCTCCCAGACAACCACCGCCTTCCTCCCCGATGATAATAGAAAAAAGAACAGCATAGAAGCATTATCGTAGCGGGGGCCATTGCCTCTCTTCTCTCATCTCGAGTCGCCTCCCCGTCTCCCTCGCACCCTCACTCGCCGTTCCCAGATATTACTGACCCGTAATTGTTGTCGTCGTCGTCCGTTGCCTTTTGACTTTTTTCTGGAATCCGTCCAAGAACAAGGTATCCATTTTTTCCCTCTTGGCTGGCAAACGTCCGGGAACCCTTTGTCGTCTTTTCCCAATCCTGGGGAACCTTTTGTGTTTTTCGTTTCCTCATCGACTCCGCGCTAGTCTAGGACTTTTGATGGTTTCCGATGATTCCATGACCGCGATTAAAAACAAACAACATCGTCTTTTCGGTGTTTCGGGATGGGTTGCTCGCTGTTTCCGGGAGGTTTGTGCTGCATTGCCCGATGGCTTTCGGGGGTCTGGTATTCCACGCGTAAAATAAAAATGACAATCCAATCGGAGCATCTCGATTGATCCGATTAAAAACGACGTCGCTACCCATGACTTCCGTTGCTTTTGTGGTTTTTTTACATCACGATACAGCATCCGCCGCTTTGTTGTGGTGCGTAGGGATCCTCGCCACGGGGGACAGCGCCCCAGACCGAAGGAACCATGTAGTCTCTCGTGCTGTTGCAGTAGGCAATGATGCTATTTGATAATTAGTGATGAATTCGCGATGGTCGCGATGGCGTGATCATCCGGAGCCATCGACGATCAATTGGTTGAATAAAAAGACCTACCTCTTAGAAGCATTGCTAACCGGAATACGTTCCCTCTCGAGATCCTCGCGCAAGCGGTTGTTGAGTTCCGTCAATCGGCGCAGCTTGAGATCGGCCATCGACTGCTTGTTCTTCTTGATCTGCGACGGGTCGCCAACATCGCGGGAGGTGTAGGCAGGCATCGTGGTGGCGGATCGGGGGGCTGGAGACTTGGACGACGAAGGAACGGAAGACGACTCGGCGACAGCGACGGGAGCGGCGCTTGCACTGGCACTGGGAGTCGCTTTGGAAGATGAAGCGACAGCGGCAGCGGGTTGTCGTCGCGATTTGGTGTCGTCGGTACGGGGTTTGTCGTCCTGGTCCTGCCGCTGGCGAGATGTCGATGACTCGGCTGTGGCGGCGACGGCTGCAGTTGGTGAGGTAGAGGTGCTGGCGGCGGCGGTGGTGGTGTTGTTGTGAGAAGAACGTTTCTGGTGAGCGAACATATCGTGTCAGTTTGATTAGAGTTTCCCTCCTTAGACTCCGCTTTGGCGGTGTTTGCCGCGTTTTCCCACCACCCCGTGGAACGAGCGTCTTCGTTCGGGGCGGGAGAAGGGGGGAATAAATGGACAAAGACGGGGGCGAAAACTCACAGGTGTGATGCCGCGGGGGCAGATGGGAGAGGAGGAGGACGGGAAGGAGGGATTGAGACAGAATGATCAAGGCCGGTTTCGATCGAAGCGAATCGACAAAGGAAAGAGCGTCGGGGGGTGGATTGGATTTGGGGGGGATTACGGGTGTCGAGGTTTTGGGTACGAAGGTAGGATGGTTGCTCGGATAGAGAGGATTTGGATTTGGGAAAGCAAAAAAAAGGCAGTAAAAGGCAAAGGAGAGGACGGACGGACGTACGTGTGGACGGGACGGGGGAGGGAAAGGGAAAGGGAAGGTGTCTGTCTTCTGGTAGTCGCTCTCTGTCTGGTGCTTTGCTTGCTTGGTAAAAGGGTCAAGGCAAGGTGCCAGGTACTACTTTACTAAGGTGAGGTGGGAAGCGACACTGGGTGGTACCGACAGAAAAAAATAATGGGCAGGGGGAGAGAGCGGAATTGGGATTGCACCTGCGTCTCTCAGTCGTGCTTGGTACTAGGGGCGCTGGGTTTGGATTGGATTGCGGAGCCGTGGGAAGGTTCCCCTAACGTGAAAGGAAAGGTCCTGGACTCCAAGGTTACCTTACGCTCGGGCCACCAGGTGCACCATTGAAGCAAGCAGCGCGCTCCGTACCGCAGCGCGCTCCGTACCGCACCGCGCGCGAGAGAGAAGAGGAGCGAGGCGGATGCGAGACCGATAGCAGCTGGTGCCGACTGGCACAGCGGTGCCCACTCTACGAAGTAACTGAGGTGAGGTGCGGCAGTGTGCGCTGCAATTGTGCAGATGCCCCGAGATGAGGTGCAGGTGCAGTGGCTCGCACCTCAGACGACCCAGACCAGGGTGGACGGGGCACATTGGTCATGTCCCTTTCTCGAGCCGGCGGGGGTGTTCGCTTGACTGGACCGGGGTCTGGTCTCTCTTCTCCCAAATTGTCCCTCGCCCAGCACGAGACGGGTGCCGCACGGACTCATCCGGTGTTGGCCCAACTCTGGCGGGATTGGCTGGAAGTTGGCCGGAGCGGGCAATCTCCAAAATTGGGTTTCCGCCTAGCAGGCCAGCACCCCGTTTAACAGCCCGAGTATCGCGTACAAGCATCGCAAGACGCGATACCTCTTCCAACTTGAAGCACTTCTTGTTGGTTCTTCAATGACGGCGCGGGCGACCGCGGACGAACTACAACGCCAGAACGGCACTCATCACATCATCATCTGTGGCGAAGTCTCCCTTCTCACTTTGCAACGGACACAGACTCTGCACTACTGCTACCGAGACCCGGCAGCCATATCTGACTTTGACCCTGCACTGCCGACTTTACTGAATTGATATCCATCTTGCGGATTTCTGCCTCCGGCTCGCCTCGCTGCCGAATCCAACACATGCCGTTGCTATCTGCGGGGGGGGGGGGGCGAGGGGGTTCGCCCCGTACACGTACAGGCCTCGGGGTATCAATCGATGTCAGCCGTGATTCTCATCAACACGTCCGATCGAACTCACCCACGCTGCTTTCGGCCTCGCTGCTAACCTTTCACCGCGCCAAAGACAAAGAACGGGGGAGTGCCGACGGCCCAGCTGAGTGGTGAATGGCGCAATGCCCAGATGCTCTATATCGGGAATAAGCATGTCAGACATGCCGTTCCCTTCTATCGGCCCTTTGGTCCGTCTTGTACTCGTTCGGATACAACCACCATCAAATACCCCATCCAGCCAGCCTTGGCTTGGCCGTCCGGGGAAACAAAATTGCACCCTCCCCTTGATCGTTCCAGCACTGCGATACCTAATGCTGCTGCACAAGCCCCCCTGCCAGGAGGTATGATCGAATACGAACCCACCAACGACCGGCGCTCTACCGAGATCATCGATGTGTGAAGTCAACGATTAAACTCGGAGGTCACGTCAGGCAACGGTGTGGGGGGGCGGGAATAAGCCGCGCCTTGTGATGGTGTTGGGTGATTAACTTCATCGAACTGTTGGATCACACACTGGCAAGGCTGGCAAATCGGGCTGCGATCGCAGTGACACAGACACCTACCTCGTTGCTTGTCAGATGGGAAGTGGGCGGGAGAGTTTTGCCCAGAAGTGCTACCTTTGCGCATGATTCACTAGAAATGGACTTTTCTCAAACTTTACTTCGGCGACCTCAAAGACCCCGTCACTGGACCCACGATCTAACCTCCATCGATGTTGCATCATCCATTTGCTCAGTGATTATGGGATGGCGGAAGGTTTTTCTCAGGTAGGGTGCCAGTCTATTGATGAGGAGACCGCCTAATTTTCCCTTGTTTTTGCGGCTACATTTTCCGTGCAGTTAATTACTTTGATCAAGAACGACAGTAGTAGAGAAACAACGGTAGTAATAGCAGTCGCTCTAGCAAGGGAAAATTAGGCGGTCTCTTGATGAGGTCACCCGCTGTCTTTCTTCAAGGTGCAACGGAGGACCGCAGACAGCCTTGAGGCCAGGATAAGACACCTAAAATGAAGGTAGGTCGGCAGGCTGGACCGGCAGCTGACATAATCTTCAACATCACGTGACCGTCCGTTTCGCAGCCGTGCACGGACGCAGAGCCCCTCAGAAACTCGCATAGCGGCCACACAGGAAATTTGAAAATTCTCGTGTGAATCGACTCTTCCGCAACGCCATCGCAGCGACAGCCAAGTCGATATCTCGCTCGCACCCACACGGCTTGCGTTGCAACTCTCTAAATAGACATCTCCTCGAGAATATCTGTTACCCGCAGAGGAGGTTGCCCATCATGGTGAGTCCCGCCTATCCATGTGTTCCAGCCCGCCCGCAGCCTAAAATTTCCCGCCCATTTTGACGCTACCCCTCTCTTAATTCCATCACAAGCCGGCGTCTTGCTGTGCGATCGACTATTTGGGGCAACAATACTGATGGTTCTCTATAGCCTCCTCCGCCTCACCAAAAGCCCGAGAATGTCCTGAAGCGGGCTCACGAGCTCATCGGCGTCAAGCAGGCACCGGCCGCCCTGACCCTCCTCCACGAGCACATCACCTCCAAGAGAAGCCGAAATGTTCCCATCGCGTCGCTGGAGCCCGTGATGCTCCTGTTGGTCGAGCTCTCCGTCGAGCAGAAGAAGGGAAAGCTGGCCAAGGATGCCCTGTACCAGTACAAGAACATCAGCCAGAACACCAACGTCGCAACGATCGAGGTACGTCGCCACGTCGTCGGAGATAACTTGTGTGCCGGAGAAAACGATTGCTAACAAAGGGCATATACAGCTGGTTCTCAAGAAGTTCATCGAGCTCGCCGCCGAGAAGGTCACCGCCGCCCAGCAAAAGGCCGACGAGGTCCAGTCCACCATCGACGCTACCACTTCCACCGCCAACGTCGACGATTTGGAGGCCAGCGAAACCCCGGAATCCATCCTCCTCGCCACCGTCTCCGGCGAGCAGTCCCGCGACCGTACCGACCGTGCCATCGTCACCCCGTGGCTCAAGTTCCTCTGGGAGGCTTACCGTACCGTCCTCGACATCCTCCGCAACAATGCCCGCCTCGAGGTCCTCTACCAGAGCACGGCCATGCAGGCCTTCGACTTCTGCTTGAAGTACACTCGTAAGACCGAGTTCCGCAGACTTTGCGAGCTGCTCCGCAACCACGTCCAGACCGCCGCCAAGTACTCCACGCAGATGCACGCCATCAACTTGAGCGACCCCGACACCCTGCAGCGTCACCTGGAGACTCGTTTCCAGCAGCTGAACGTTGCCGTTGAGCTCGAGCTCTGGCAGGAGGCTTTCCGCTCCGTTGAGGATATCCACACCCTCCTCAACCTCAGCAAGCGCCCTCCCAAGCACATCATGATGGCCAACTACTATGAGAAGCTTACCCGTATCTTCCTCGTCGGCGAGAACTACCTCTTCCACGCTGCCGCCTGGTCCCGTTACTACACCCTCCTACGTCAGTCCGCTGCCCTGGTCTCTACTGGTCAGAGCAAGAAGGCCGACAGCCCGTCTGCCACCGATGCCGACCTCGAGAAGGCCGCCTCCTTCGTGTTATTGTCCGCCTTGGCCATCCCCGTCATCAGCACCACCCGCTCTCGCGGTGCCATGGTTGACTTTGACGAGTCGAGGAAGAACAAGAACGCCCGCCTTACCCACCTTCTGGGTATGTCTCAGGCCCCTACCCGTGCCGGTCTCTTCCGCGATGCCCACGCCAAGGGCCTGCTGAAGCGCGCTCGTCCCGAGATCCGCGACCTCTACAACATCCTCGAGGTCGACTTCCACCCTCTGTCAATTTGCCAGAAGATCTCTCCCATTCTAACCAAGATCGGCGCCGACGCTGAGATGGAGAAGTACATCCTGCCTCTCCAGCAGGTCATCCTTACCAGACTCTTCCAGCAGCTCTCGCAAGTGTACGAGACCGTCGACCTCAGCTTCGTTGAGCGCCTGGCCGAGTTCCCCGAGCCCTTCCAGGTTACCCGCGGCACCATTGAGAAGTTCATCATGAACGGCAACAAGAAGGGTGACCTGGCCATCCGTATGGACCACGCCACCGGCGTTCTCAGCTTCGACAACGACGTCTTCTCTTCTGCCAAGGCTGCTCACGCCGGCTCTTCCGCCGGTTCCGCCGAGGCCGACGGTAGCTCCGTCCAGCGCCTGCAGAGCACTCCTTCGGAGATTGTTCGTTCTCAACTCACTCGTCTCGTCAAGTCCCTCCACACTACCTGCTTCTACGTCGACCCCACCTACAACCAGTCTCTCGTCGCTGCCAGGGAAGCTGCTCTTGTCCGGGCTAAGGCCGGAGCTGAGCAGGAGCACCACGCCATTCTTGCGAGAAAGGAGGTCATCCAGAAGCGCAAGGAGGAGGCCTCCGAGGTTCAGGCTCGAAAGGAGAGAGAGAATGCCCGCCAGAAGCGCCTTCGTGACCAACTGCTCCAGGAGGCAGAGGACAAGCGCCTCGCCGCCGAGCAGAAGGAGCGTGAGGAGAAGCGCATGAAGGCCGAGCGTGACCGTGTTCGCAAGGAGGAGCTCAAGAAGCAGATTGCCGACCTCAAGATCGGTCCCAAGGTTATTGACCTGGACCTTGAGAACCTGGACAACCTCGACTCCAGCGCCATCCACGCCATCAAGCTGGAGCAGCTCAAGCGCGAGAAGAACGATGTCAACGAGAAGCTCCGCATCGTCTGGAAGCGTATCGACCACTTGGAGCGTGCATTCCGTAAGGAGGAGTCTAAGAAGTTGGGCGAGGACTACCAGAAGCAGATCGAGAAGGACCGCGCGACCTACGAGGCCGTCAAGAAGCAAACCCTCAAGGAGTCCGAGGAGAAGCACAAGGAGAGCGTCGAGTTGAAGCACCGTCTCAGCCGCCTGGTGCCCGAGTACACTTCATTCCGCAACAACCTTCACGACCGCCGCAAGGACGAGTTCGAGAAGCGTCGCAGGGATGCCGAGAGGGAGCTCGAGAAGCAGATCGCCGCCCGCAAGAAGGAGTACCGCGAGCGCAAGCTCCGCGAGAAGCGCGAGCGCGAGGAGAAGGAGAGGGCCCTCCGCGAGGCCGAGGAGCGTGCCGCCCGCGAGAAGGAGGAGCAGGAGAGACGCGCCGAGGCCAAGCGCGCTGAGATGCAGCGCCTCAAGGAGCAGCGCGAGCAGGAGCGCCAGGAGGGTCTCGAGAAGGCCGCGCTCCAGGCGAGACGCGAGGAGGAGGCTCTGGCCCGTCGCAAGGCCGAGAGAGAATCCCAGCGCGCTGCACCCCCGTCCCGTGTTCCCGAGCGCGGCCCCGTCGAACCTTCCTCCGAGGGTCGTCGCCCGCTCAACCTCCCCGGAGCCGGCAAGTGGCGCGAGCGTGAGGCGAACAAGTCTTCTGCTCCGGCGGATTCCGCACCCCCGGCTCGTGGACCTCCCGTGGAGCGCTCCGAGCGCCCTGAACGCTCCGAGCGCCCCGAGCGTGCTGAGCGTGCCGACTCCGGCGACCGCCCCAGCGCTGGCCCGCCGCGCCTCAACCTCGCCGGCAACAAGCCCAGCTGGCGTGAGCGTGAGGCCGCCAAGGCCGCTGGCGGCGGTGGCGACAGCAGCAGCACCGCGCCGCCTCCGTCCCGCACCGCTTCTGGTGGTGCGCCCCTCAACCGCGCCGGCTCTGGACGCGGTGAGAACGGTCGCCCTGAGCGCACCGGCTCCCCCGCGCAGCCGGTCGAGCCGCTCAAGCCATCGGGCGGCGCTGGCAAGTGGGTGCCCCGTCACCTTCGCGACAAGCAGTAAGCTTGGTGCTCATCATGAAAGGGGGCGACGAGGAGGAAGAGAGCAAGTGGTGGGATCTGCAGTCTGCATCGGCGTTCTAGGTTAGGCAGGAAGTTGTTTTAAAAAAGGATGTACTCTAGAGCCCCCGAGGATGATCCCCCCTCCTCACCGATCGAGGGGAGTTAGAATGGAAGTAACAGATAGCCTTTAATCGTTGGTCAGGATGGAGTGAAATGTGACGATGATGAAATGATTTTTGGCATGGTTCAAATTTTCAAAGTGGCTGGATTAGACTTTGGGGCATCTTGCGTATAATCCATGATTCATTCTTTCAACAAAATCTTTTGCCCAGAAGTTTGACAATTCATTAGTGACGGACTATGTTCGACATGTTTGGCTCTGCGACAAACAGCCAAAGAAGCTTTCCCAGTCATGTTTCTACACTAGTTGGATGTCATAGTCTGGGCAGCCTTGGCGACTTTTGTTCGGGAAGATGAATCGGCGTTGCAAGCTGCAAAAGGCTCTTGGCAACTTCAGGACGGCGACGGTGGAGTCCCAGACCAGGCTCATTGGAGACAAAACGACCGACCGCATTCTTCATGGTCTCCGGTAAGCCTTGTCAGGGGTAAGTAAGTAAATGCGAGATACGCGGGCCTCCCCAGCCGCATCAGCGGGAATCGGGGATTTTCGATCCAACAGGCTTTGGACTTGTGCCGCCCACCTGGATACGAGGCTTGGAAGGATCGCCGTCCGCAGATGTGGCGAAGATCGTGGAGTTTGAGGTTTACATGGCCCCCTTTCGTTGTGAGCCGTAGCCTCAGAGTAAGGGAGAGTAAGCCGCCGTTGAGCCTAAGCAAAGCCACGATGCGGGTTGCGTTGCCGTGCGCCAAGAGCGCGCTGCAGAACTGCTCTTTCCGCCCATCACGTGTGAGGCGTCGGCGAGGCTCGAAGCTGTTGCCCGTCTTGTTGGGTCTCACTTTGGCTTGGGCCTTTCGGTGCGCCGTGGGCCTCAATGACGGACGGTCGGACTTGATGAGCTCCCCTAGCTTTCTCCCCCTCTCTTGGTGAGAGGAAAGGGGTTGCTAGTGGTGTTTTCAGGTGTGCATTGTCCAGTCGCATTGGCATCGGGCTGGCACCGTCGACGGGTGATGGAGGCGCAGCAACTCCCCTCCCGAACTTTGTAGTGAGAGGTGAGGTCGGGCCCAACGAGCTGAGAATGGCTCACGGGAATGGTTCGGATGGAATGCTTGTCTCCGAGATTGGATCCTCGCTGATGGGATGGCAGCATGCAAGCCAAACATCATCTACATGATGCAACTGCGGCTGCCGAAGATGCACTGACAATTCTCTCGGCCAGAAGGATTGTGTCTACCGACAACGCTTTGAAGCAGTGACGCGTCTTTGGATGGGTGGTTATTAATCTCTCCCTTTGGAATTCGAGTCTCTAGACTCAATAGACCATTGTTGCGGGTTATTGCAGTCATTTGTAGAAGGGATCTGCGACGATATAGTGTAGTCAAGTTAGTGTGCGAATAATCAGGCGGCGACAATATGACCTAGATTGATCCAAGTTAAAAAACAACGTTTAGTGAGTTGTTGATTCATGCCATCGACCCCAGAGAGGGGACGTCAGGGCTGGATGGCTCGAGGCGAATGTCGAACCAAGTCAAGCTTAAGGGTAAGCTTGATAACGAAAGATGTCTCGGGCTCAGGTGCCAGTCTCGTATCCCCCAGCTTGTGGAATAATGCAGCACCCATTCTCTTGCAGGCGATACGGCCGTGCAAGGAGGGTCCAACAATGCTCACCTGCAGTTGGGAGGTCTGTGTCTGGGAATATGGCGGGTGTCGCGAGGCGTGACAGCCCTATCAAAGGGAGTGTAAACAAATTGACGAGGTGCTCGATCCTTGAACGCGGGAGCGCCCTTGCTTTGGACCAGGGATCATCGAAGATCTACTGCTTCGGCCAGGTTCCGCCCCGCACAGGAAGACGGAGAGTTGTTTGTCGACATCATCCGCACCGACAAAACACAGAACCAAATCGTTGGGAGAAGAGAACGAAGCGGCAGAACAGAGCGTGAAATCTGGGCGGGCAGGTGCCAGAGTCAGAGCACGATTTGGGGACCTCGTCCGAAGCGTTGTGGTTTGCCTTATCAGCTCAAGCACCGCAGACGTTGCAGCCCCGTCGATAGTCGCCCAAGCGTGCTGCATCGCGGAGGATTATACGAGAGACAGAGTATGCAGATACCCTGCTTCTCGAAGCGTTGGGCTGGCCTCGGTGGCTGACAGGGCTCAAGGCCTGGGGTAGAAGTCAATAATGCAACCCAAGCTGCATTGTGCATAGCTGCTATGTTCAGACCCAAGCCATTTTTTGACAGGTTTACCATGCAAGGGCGCACGAGCAATGCAGAGGAGCTTCGAAGTAGGTCTCGCGGCCCGAGTCATAGCAGCTTCGGCCGAGGTCTTTTGTGGCGTGGACAAGAAAACCGGTCGAGCGGTAAGCCTCTGGGCATCGAGACGATTGTTCTCCAAGCCCACGCTGACAAAAAGGATATTCTTGGACCGGCGTTTCCCCTGAATCAAAACGAAACGAAAGTCCAAAGATGATGTCCTGCGTGGGTGGCTAAAGTGAAGTAGGACGGGTTGGCTTGGGGGAGATTGGTCCTGACGGCATCGAGGACGGCACAGGTCCCCACAAGAGCCTAGCAGCTTTGGAAACCTTGGTGATGGGTGAGTGGAAGGTACGGATGCAATTGAGCTGAGGCTAGCAGTTGCTGTGATTCCAGATTGGAAAGAAAAAAAAGAGTCTAATGCAGGTACGGGGGGGGCTCTGTCCCCGGACCCCCTGCTGTTGGAGAGGCGAGTGGAGGGAGAGCCGACGGGATAAGCTGAGCTTAACGCCGGGAGGGCCAATGAGACGGGCCAATCTATCCCAAGCGGGGCATTTCTTCTTTCCCAAAGGGGCAACACGCTGGTCGTTTGTTTTGTTTCCTCGTCTTCCTCGCACCTTGGCACCCAAACCCTTCCCTGTGTATGTCCTTTGCACCCCGTCATCCGCCGACTACCGCCGACCAGAAGTGGCCTGGATTCAGCTTTCACTTGCACCTCCAAGCCTGTTCTGGCCTAGGTGCCTTGCTCGGACTCAAGGACCATGCCCTTTTGCGCCGGTCCGCCCCAAGATGGCGGATACTCCAACTTGACTGCATCTCGGCCCTGCCTCTTGGCCAGAAAGAGTTTGGAACCCTCAATTCGACTCTGCAAAGCCCAACGCCAGTGCAGGTGAAGGCGCGCCGTTCAGAGGTCTCTAATTGCTGTTGTCCTGGCTTGTTGTTGGAACATCAATGTGGCCCTGGCTAGGTGGCGTCCAGCTCCCGCTTAACCTGACTGACTCTAGCTCGCCTATTCTTGACATCAGACCCATGATATGGCTGTTTCCTGCCGATTCTTCAGTGAAGACAGCAGGACAGCGTCTGAGCCAACAGTCAGTCAACGTACCGTCTCCAGAATAAGCGTATCTTTTACTCTATCCTTGGAAATCACGCCAATGCTCTAGCTGCAGCCTCGTCTCCGTCTGACCTGACACCACTCTATCGGCCGCTACCTGCGTCCCCCGTCCCCCTGACTGCTTCCCACCATGGAGGCCACCATCATGCGCTTTCTGATATGATCGAATTTCACTATATATGGAGGGCGTTGATGCCTCTCATCCCGGTCTCTCTCCCTCCTCATCACACACAGCCCTCTCGGCATACAACCACATTCGTTTCTTCTGCTTTTCGCAAAAGACCTGTTCATTCTTTAATTAATCCTCCGCCTTACACTCGCTCGAAATGGCTCCCCTCCTCAGAGCCGTGGCTGCCTTTGCCGCTGCCACCACTCTCGTTTCCCAGGTCACCGCGACTACTGTTGAGTTGCCTCCATGCCTCAGCGCCTTCCAGCCCTTTGTCTACTCTGGCTGCTACGCCGAAAAGGGAACTCAGGGCGAGAACGCTCTCGACTTCCGCTCCTCCATCGATCAGTCGAAAACCACCACTGAGTCCTGCGCTGCCGAGTGCAAGGGCAATGGGTACCGCTACTCCGGTCTGACCTACTATGGCGTCTGCTACTGCAGTGCCACTGTCAACAGCGCAAAGCTTGACGACAGCGTCTGCAACTATCCTTGCAATGGAGCCAAGAATGAGACTTGCGGCGGCCCGTCTGCCTTCTCCGTCTGGGCTGATCCCACGTTCGCCAAAGTCGACGACACGGTTATCGAGTCTTTCCAGTCCATCGGCTGCTACACCGATGACACCAGCCACGGACGCACCGTTGCTGAACGCCAGGACCAGATTCCCACCGGCAGCATGACCCCGTCCGCCTGTATCGCCGCTTGCGCTGCCGACGGCTACCCCTTTGCTGGTCTTGAGTTCGGTCAAGAGTGCTACTGCGGTGTCGTCATAGGAAACTACTCTGTACCTACCACCAGCGACAAGTGTGCCATGCCTTGCAAGGGTGACAGCACCAAGAACTGCGGTGGCTCTGCCAATGTTGAGATCTATGCCTCCCAAAAGCTCCTTTCTTTGGAGCCTTGCGGCTACGTCCCCCCCGCCAACTCGCCGTCGTCTTCGCTCCCGGTCACGCTCCCTGTCTCTTCCGCCCCGGTCTCTTCGGTTCCTGACACCTCCGCCCCTGCCACTTCGGCCCCTGCCAGCTCCGTTCCTGATACTTCAATCCCGGCTACTTCGGTCCCTGCTACTTCAGTTCCCGATACCTCAGTTCCTGCTACTTCGGTCCCGGCTACCTCGGTGCCTGCTACCTCCGTTCCTGCCACTTCGGTCCCTGTTGTGTCGACCACTTCCCAGGCTCCCCCTCCTCCTCCTCCCGCCACGACCTCGACCTCGATTTGCACGACCTCCACCACCAAGCCCGTCGTCCCCCCCGTCTCTACTTCCAAGGTCGTGTCCTCGCAGGCTCCTCCTCCCCCCTCTACCACTCCCAAGCCTACTCCTAGCACCACTGCTCCGGCTATGTGCACCACCACTGTGACCACCCCCGCCACCTGCGAGTACGGCTGCGGAAGCTGGTGCAACAAGAACCTCCCCGACTTTGACGACCAGGACAGCTGCAACAAGGCCTCCAATCGCTGCCTCCTCCAGGTCAACGCGTGCTACAAGGGTGCCGGCTTCCCCAACTCTGCCGCCTGTGTCGACTTCAAGGCTTGGTGCAAGGACGTCTCCAGCTACTGCTCCAGCAGCTGCTCCGGCAAGAAGGGATCTTGCGGCAAGAAGGACTGCTTCCAGAAGAAGCAGCCCAAGGGATGGAAGCCTGGTTCTACCTCTGTTTCCACCTTCCCCTGCCCCTCCAAGCCTACCTCCACCTCTACCCCGGTCACTGTTGTTCCCCCTCCTCCCACTGGTATCTGCAAGCAGCCCTCCAGCTGGCTCTTCAAGTACGGCCCCGGCAACCCTGTCGGTGGCATTGAGATCCCCATCGTTACTTGCAACGACGTCGAGGTCGAGTTCAAGGCTGGCAACCAGTTCAAGCTCTACATTGAGGCCGACACCAAGCTCTGCAAGGGCTACGGCAAGGGCAGCGTCCCCAACGCATGCGCCGAGGCTTGCCAGGAGCAGTACACCGAGTGCCAGAGCGTCTACGCCCAGGGTTGCAAGGCCTACAACAACCGCCGCAGCGGTGGTGGCTACTCCTCTGCTCCCGATATCGCCAAGCGCTTCTTCTTCGCCGACACTTTCACTGTTGCTCTCAACAAGTGCAAGATCCAGTACCAGGACTGCTTGGCCGAGAACAAGAACGTCCTTGTCTCCAACAAGTGCGGCGTCTTCGCCGGCGGCTACTAGGCTGCACCTCAACTCTCATTTGAACAGCATCGTGGCGATGCATAAAAGGATGAACGGAGTTTGAATTTAATGAAGTACATGGCCTCATTCTTACACTCCTTAGACGACTTTAGGGTAAATAATTATATCTAATGGCTAGTATCTTAATGGAAAAATAGTTTTGGATTTATTACATCTTTCTTCTCACTTTCCTCGTGATTTGATGGTGATGTGCGGTTTACATGAAGCAAGGGACTTGGTTGCCGCTTTTTCGAGTACAGGAAGGTTATGAATATCGAAAGTCCAGGGCAGAAACAGAGTCTCAAAGTGGTGTGAGACCGGCAGATGTACTAAACAGCTTTGCAGAATCGAGCTGCAAGGGAGCCACGAGGCTCGGGGTATTTACCATGTTTGCGCAACTAAAAGCATGGATCCAAGATCTCAAGATGCCGCTCACTTCTCCACCTGCAGGAGCATGCAGATCGTCAATAAATTTTATTTCTTTCAGTTTTCGTGTTCTGTCCCAGAGAAGGCTGGATTTTCTGTGAGCTCCTCCCTGCGTATTATGGGAGAACAAACGACGTCTGCATGTGAAAGAAAATCGACGAGGATGTCGGTTGGTTGATTCGTCAAATTGCGAGCTACATTCTTGCATCCTGTGCTCATGGTTGATAGCAATGCCAGAAGCTCTGAAGGAGATTCGGTGTTGATGTCTGGTAAACTTAAGGACTTTGCCGGCGATGCGTGTTGTTGTTCCAACTTGCTGAGAACACCCCAAAATCGTTGGTTTGGCATAACATGAAATATCGCAGAACGCATCCTGGATAGCGCACCAAAGTCACGGTATACCAAGAAAGTAGTTATCAGCGCGTGACGGTGCAGCTGCAAATCTCATTGCATCCAAGTTCCCCGCTTGGCGATGGACACATGTACACCGGATGAACTATCCTTTCCCCAAAAACGCATCCAACCGAGAATTATCTCGGCCGAAAAAAAGTTCAATCGCTATCTGTGCGACCGCATCACCTGTCCGAGAATGCAAAAAATGAACTGCTCATGCCAACACTGTGGATCGAACACAGGATCCCCGCATTACAAGTGCGATGCCTTACCACTTGGCCATGCTGGCGAATCAGTCGGAGCTGGTGATGCGACGCTGCGGAGCGAGTAAGCAGCCCTTGAAGGGAGCCTGGTCTCAGGAGCTCGGGCTGGCTCCAGTGTGTGGGGTTCGCGTGGTGACCGGGGGTGGCCCAGGTTCAGGCGCTAGGGTGTTCCCGGATGACTAAGGTGCTCTTTCCATTTTGGGAGGTTTGTGGAAGGTGGGGTTCGTGACTTACAAGTGGTGTGACGTTTGGATGTTGGTTTCTGAAGCGGTATAATGGCTATATCGTCGAGATTTAGATGTTGTTTATGTAAAATAGCACTTGTGTCCTGATTTCTGTCTATCAATGAGGAATTGCGTGACAAGCCTTGGATCGGTGGTTGTGGACCAATCTCTGCAGTACAAGACACGCAACTTCCTTGCAAAATCAAAACCAGTTGGCTTTAGAAACCAAGTGGAAGATCGCGGCTTCCCGTTGTTTCTTTCAATATATTACAAGGTCGCCTCAGGGAAGTCACTATGGTGCTCTCGGCTACAACTTCAAAATCGGTTTTCTGAAAGAGCCAATCGCGATTTCTACTTCTTCCTAGATGGAATCGAAAAATCCTAAATATTTCTGCTCTCCTCATACTGCTTCTGTTATCTCCAGCAAAGCCATATCGTTAATCGGTGAGTATGTTTATCAAAGACATTTCAAATTTGACTGACCCATAACACATTAGAGTCATTCATCTCAACACACAGATGAGATTAGAAAAGGCGCCAATACAGAGAGACACGGCGGCTGGAGGAAGATACGACAGCCATGATAGTGTTCAAGCAACCTCAGTCGCCTGCCATGCGATCACCTGCCACCAGCACTCCTGATAATTCTTATGCAGAATTTGAGTTGTGTCGCGAGTTTTGGGAGCGGCTTCTGATACTGAATTATGAGCGCGAGCCTGAAGTATGGCGACCAAAGAGGAGCGGGGACGAAGAGACAGCGAAGAGCGGGACATTGAGCGCTATCTTGCCAAAGTTCTGGGAGAGAACAACGGTGACTACTGCCGATCTGAGATGCTTGTTGATGCTGCAAGAATCTCCTGGCTGGGATCTTTGCGCGACGAAGGCGAATCTCCACGATTTGAAGAAGTCATATCGCCTGACATTGTGGCCAAGGCGAACGCCATCCTCAATAACCACGAGTCTTGGGAAGAGGTTCAGGTTCTTCTGGAACACGCGGAGGATGAAGACACCCGGGGTTCGTCACCTTTCTCAGAGGAGGAGCCAACCGAGGCCCTCCGTCTTCTTCAAAGGTTTACAGCCTGGGCCTCGCCCAATCTTCGCTTCGATCGATACGTATTGAAGCGAGAGCGTAATGATGAGCCCTTTTACACTATTCGAGGCTACCTCCGAGACGTCCTAGTACTTCTCTCTATGAAACGTCTGTGGGAGGATAATCTGCGTCTGGAATGGCAGCCTGACATTCACCCTGCGGCCATCCACCGGGCCGTGGCATTCGCCGGCAAGATTGGGCAGCGGGCGACAACGGAGCTTTTTGACGCCTTCTTGGAGAGAATGGAGTGTACTTCCCTGGATCCCGACAATCACTTCTTCCCCCAAAGTCCCGCCGAAAGGCAGAAAACGACACGACGCTTCCTTTCTGGTCTATCCAAGTGCAAGCCAATGCAAAACACGGACATTCTTTACCCGCTAGCAACCCATTCGACCAGTCACCACACGAAGGGAGTCAGGTTCATGCTTCCCGACGAGGATTCCAGAAAAGAGGCCAAGCTTTCGCCCTTGCGCGAGTTGGCCAAGCAATACAAGTTGTCGGTGCACACTTTCATCCGGCTGTCGATGTTCGTCTACTCGGATACGAACTAGCGGGCACCAAAACTGCAGTTTTCCGCAAGATGGAAAAGGATGGGAATGACTCCTAAGCAGAGATCTGAAGCTTAAGAGAGGACTTACGACAACATTAGATTTCTTGGACGGGAAGGCGGGAAAAGAAGGCTCACACAAGCCAAGCAACAAAAGAGAGGCGTTTTGAGGTTAAAGACATGGGCTCATCATGGTAACCATTGGATGGTTCCGCGGTCATTTAGTAACTTGATTTGGGAGTCCGGCAAGCAGATAACGGATCTTAGCAAGCAGAATTGTGTTTGCAGCCATCAAGAACAATATTACGCCATATGTAATGGGATCGCGTCTGCTGCCTCAGCTTGCATTACTTCGGACGTGTCCACAAGTCATGCTGGTATGAGTAGCAAATGTAGGTAGGTATCCAGCGCCCTTGGGAAGTACTGAGTTGGTGGCACTTGATTCACGAGACAACTTCTTTCTAAAAATCACGCGAGCAAGCAGCCTGCTGTACAACTCAATCGCATCATCTCACAAAAAGATTTCCATCGCCAGGGTTCAGCAGCAAACCAACGAGTAGGATATCACCCCGGGAGGACCCAACGGGTGTCATCTGCGAGACGCGTGTAAGTACCTTGTCGAACGCAGCGCCAGTTGCGGATTGAGTTTTCCCCAGCTTTGTAGCCCTGTGGAGCCTCGCGCTCAGATGACACTGGCCGCCGTCGGGTAGCCACCGAGGCTTAGCCTGCATCTTGCATCCGAAAAGCGGCATGCCTCAATCAGTGTGTGTGGTTTCAAGAGCTCCACAGACAGAAGCACCGAGCTTCCTCGCCGGCCAGGACCGATGCAAACGGGGCGTTGGCGATTGCGAGTGGCAGCGCTGAGCAGCAGGCAGCAGGTAGCAAGCATTGCGGGCGACGACCAGGGCCCGGGACGACCTACATTCGCGGATGAGAGTTTGGCGTTGTGTGCGCTCGGTTTGGTTTCCGGATGGAGCTCCTCCTTCAGCGGCGGCGGGGAGGGGCTATTGGAAACAAGCCGAGCATGCCGCCCCTCCTTTTCGCAACCTGGATTCGAATGCGAGGGGTAGGAGCGAAGTCGGTTCTGTTGGTTGTGAAAACGACCCCTCGGTTGAAGCGAGTGGCACGGGACCTTTGATGAGATTCCGGGATCGGGAGAGCAGATTGACCGAGGAAGGGAGCTGGGCTCCGACTCCGACCAGATTGAAGGTAGAGTTCACCGGCATTCGGAAAAATAGGCCTGGTGAGGGGAACCGGTACCTAGGTAGGCTTGGTACGAAGGGAAGGGACGGGAAGGGAGGCAGGAGAGAGGGCGCGTCTAGAACCCTAAAAAATGGCCGGAAAATAGCACACAAAAATGGAGGTAAATCCTAAGCGAGAGCAGCCAGGCGATGATCTCACACACCAAAAAGACTGGCAGCGGGCGGTGGTTGTAGCGGCTGGCACACGGACGGGTACAGGGCAACAGGGCAGTCGGCACAGTGCGAGGTCTGGGGGCCAGGTGCCCCTCATCTGCGTGTCAAAGTGGTGCGTGTTGTGTGCCCTGTCCTGCGTCCAGCGGGCGGTGCCGGGCTGCCATTGGTCCCCGGGCCGCCTTCTTGCCCTGCGTGCCCTGGCTACATGACCTAATTTGCTCCGTGCTTGGTCGGTTCGCAGCGCTGTGATTTGTCCCAACTTCCTCCCGGAAACCCCAGCCAGTGCCCACGGTGCCCCGTTGCGCGCAGTTTCTTCACCTCTCTCCCCATCGTCACATCACCGGCACCAACTGGTCCCATATTCCCTATCGAGCATCATCACCAGTCGCTAGGTCATGGTGTTCTAACCTGCCTCTTTACCCCAAATCACATCCTAGACTAGGTCGCTATTGTTCACCACAATCCAGGCGACAAGATGTCGGTCGCAAGCAAGGTAAGCTCGCCCTCTGGTTCTGTCCCTCCCGACCTTTTTCAATTCCTCTGTTCGTCGTCATTTTGACCTCGCCATTGTGTGCGTCGTCGTTGTTGCCGTCAATTCCCGGAATCCTGTTGTTGTCGTCGTCGGCCACAATTTTTCACCACCTCGTCGTCCATCGTGGAATCCCATACTGACAATGCTTCCCAGAACCTGTTCGAGCTCCTCGGTATGAATACCCTCGATTGCGATCCCTCCGACGGATGATCCCTCGCTGTCTGGACATGCCCTAACCCCCCACGACAGGCAACGATGCTGAGGATGACACCCCTCAGGCGCCCGTGAAGACGGTCGATAAATCCACCATGCGCTCTACCAAGCGCAACGCCGAGCCTGAGGCCCCCTCGCGCGCCGCCGCTAACACCGGTGCTCGCCGCAACAACGCCTCTGGCAACGAGGCCGGTACGTTTGACCTCCATTGCCGTCTTTCCTCCCGAGGAGACGCAACCTCGACCCCGCTTTGTGGCTCGGTTCGCTGACCCAACTCTGCCGACAGCTTTCCGTGACCGTGGTGCCGGCAGCGACCGCAACCGTGGTAAGACCACCGAGGAGTCTGCTAGAGGCGGCTCCCGTGGCGGCTACGGTGCCCGCGTCCGTGGAGGTTCGTAATCGCCCTGTCGTCGCCTGCCGCGAGCAATTCGCGCATGGCGGCCGAGACTCGGTCCATTCACTAACATCAAATAGGTCGCGGCGGCCGTTTCCCCCGTGAGCGCGACGACCGACACACCAAGGGCCAGGCCACGTAATTCCTTCCCGTCCCGTCATGCCAGCTTCAAAGCTAACCCACCACAGCGGCGGTTCCGACAAGCAGGCTGCCCAGTCCTGGGGTGCCACCGAGGGTGATGCCGAGCGCAAGGATGAGCAGGCCGGCGAGGCCATCGCTCAGGCCGAGGCGAAGGATGCCGAGGCCGAGGCTGCCGCCCCCGTCGAGCCCGAGGAGCCCGAGGACAAGAACATCTCCTACGCCGACTACCTCGCCCAGCAGGCCGAGAAGAAGCTCGCCCTTGACTCTGGCCTCGAGGTCCGCAAGGCCAACGAGGGCTCCAAGCTCAAGAAGGAGTGGGCCAACGTCAAGGAGGTCTCCCGCGACGAGGAGGACAACTTCATGATCGGCACCGGAGGCAAGACCAAGCGTGAGCGTGAGCGCAAGACCAAGCAGCTCCTGGATATTGACCAGCGCTACGTCGAGCCTGAGCGCCCCCGTGGCGGCCGTGGTGGTCCTCGCGGCGGTGCCCGCGGTGGTGCCCGTGGCGGTGACCGTGGCGAGCGCGGCGGCCAGCGTGGTGGTGCCCCCCGTGGTGCTACCCGCGGCGGTGCTCCCCGTGGCGGCGCCCCCCGCGGCGGCTCTGCTGCCATCAACACCAAGGACGAGTCTGCTTTCCCCAGCCTCGGCGGCAAATAAGTTATGCCACCTAAGATCTGCCAACATACAGGCAAGAAATGTGCCTCGACACATGTTTCCGCTCTAGCCAACAACGATGGGTACGGAAGGGAAGGGCCAGTTTTCGGGGAAAATTGAAGAAGGATGGTTTTGCGTCACATGGCTTCCGAGGACTGGGCCGGCTGAATTTCTGGTCGTTGCACAATGAATGAAAGGCTTTTTTCTCATCTAGGTACTCAAGGAACGGTATCGTTCAAAAAGTCAAAAATGGTCTCTTTGCATGATTTTCATTGCTTTTCCGGCCCGGTCTGCTGCAATGGTTAAGGTGTACGCGTCATGTGGTATCAGCCACGACGTAACGGGGTCTGGATTGTTAACGAATGCCCTACCAACGCTGCTTCATGAGGACTTGCATCGTCTAAGTGCTCATCGAGTTGTTGATATAAAAAGGTAACCCGCGGATGCTCTCATGCAAGACCACAGAGCACGAGCAAGCTTGGTTGTGAGCATTCGATTGTCTAGTCACCAAGCCCTCCAAGTCTGCCGGGGTGCGTTGTAGGTGTTATGATATTTCACAGCATTTCCATGACATGCCTTCTCAGCAACTACTCAAAGTATACTCGGAAGACGCCAAGGCAAGGTACCAAGGGCTGGACAAGCACTTGTCAAAATAGAATGCCTAGGGTCTTTTTTTTACCGGCCATGGGAGCCTGATCATCGGATTACGCTTACAACTTGCTCCTGGGAGTCGATATGAGCAGGCGTCTGTGTATCGTTGAGCTGAAGGATGCCATATCATCCTGGGGGATAAAGTAAGCCGCCTGCGACAGGTACTGACATTTAAGTAGCTTCAGTAAGAGCACAATCATTGGATAAAGAGGTCCTCTGAAGAGATGAATTCCCGTACTCTGCCAAATCCGCTGGGCTTACTTGGGCTCTCGCGGAAGTTTGAACCCTCGAAAGCGAGAAGCGCTTGGTTCAGGCTGAGATTTCCTTTCAGCGCGAGCTCCTACAGCATGTGAATCTCCGACGAAGACCTCACCTCACGCGTTCATTCCCTTGGTATCCTTGACTGATGCCCACTTGTATACTTGGACGGCACCGATGAAAGTTGAGTGAAAGCGTGAGGTAGACATCGCGCTTCACGACACGAGCGCGGGTCCTGAAGGCGGTATCCAAGATTGTTCTCGCGCTTGGTAGTGTCAGATGGTCCCAGAGGTCGGAATTGCCTAGGTTGAGGTCAATAGGATAGCAGAGGACGATTTTTACGAGGCATCAGCTCGACTATGGGGCACGGGTCTTGTGCGGCTCGTCATCAGCGACACCTCGTCCACGATAGATAGCTTCAAGTCCAATCTTCGGGTGTAGGCGTGCTGTGAGAGTGTGCATGCAATCAAAACGGTAAACCCGAGTTGAAATGGTGCCAGGTGCCTATAAGAACCCCAGTGTTTACGGTCCAAATCGTCCTTCTCAACGCAAGACCAATACGTGCTCACTAGGATCTTGTTCCTTGTACATGGTGACTCAGGAGTCGATTTCGCCGTCATGATGTGACTTCGGCTAGATTCTTGGATCTCTCCAACTCCCTTTACATGCGTTGATTTGCATTGTTGCCGTCTCTCTTCTCTGGTCCCGGTGTATTCTAGGGGCATATTCGGAGAGTGGAATAAGTA